GTCTCTTTTGATAGGCCGCACAAAATATCACTGGGGGTCGCATCGTATACCGGTGATACTGCACTATCGCTAAGTCCTTTGCCAGAATGATACTGCTTGAGGGCAATGTCCTTTTTTTCTCTCTCCAGAAAGTAATAACCAACAACTACAGGTGAAACATGCACTGATAAAGTTTGTTGAACTATCATTTCTCGTAAATCTATAATGATGTAGTAAATGACATTCTTTTTTTGGCTTCAGGTTCCAACTTCAACGATAAAAGGTAAAAATCTTCAATCTGTGCCTCTTGATAGTAATAGTTGCTACAAATGCATTATAAACTCAAGAATGCAAATAGCCAAAGGGTTGTACTTTGAACACTAATAAATTTGATTTGATTTTGAATTATGAACTTGTGTATGTTTAGTTCTAAAGTCAACAGGTTGAACAACTCTCAGTCCTGACTTTTTCTGTTTTCATTTTTCACGAATGACTTAATTTGGAAAGGTAGATGTGGGTGCCATGATATAAAAATAGTTCGGAACTCCTGGTCTACTTAAATGGGTAATTAAATGTATTCAATTACTGTGCAAATATCAATGCTTCTGATCTAAATGTAAATAATGTCAAGTCTTTTTGGTTGAAATTTAAATATTTGTTTAAAAGGATTCTTTACCTAATTTCCCGGCACCAGAGGTTCGCCTATAGTGGCGTGACGTCATTTAGGTAAGCGCTAAGGCTCATAATACATTTTTAGAGAATTTAGAATCTTATAATGCAAATAATATTTTTTTGGGGGTATAAAGCTCACACTTAGTTGCCTTGTTGTCAAACATCGTATTCATGCCGTACAAGGGGTTACAAATAAATACCAATCCATTCATTAACTCGAATTCTAAATTTGAGTAGCTTACGGCGCTGTGCCAATTTTCCCATCAGCTGTGATATCTCGCTGCGAAATTTGGCTCCTCCATTATCAAAGGAGAGAACTCCCTTGCCCTAGGCATTGGATCTGATTACAAGATCAGACACACAAAATACCGAGTAAACCGGCAGTAAAGAGCTTGGACAACTCCGGCGTAAGTTCGTATCAGATTGCAAACCGTGGAAAGACAACTTGATACGACAGGGAGAAAAAAAAAATAAGTGAAAGGTATATATTTTTGTTTGACCTACCGCGGGTTGGAACGCGGAGTAGAAAATTACGAGAAGTTGCACACACTCCTGCATGAGGAAGGGCCATTTCTGAGCAACGCGGAGACGCGCGCGCGTCACCTGAACAAATACCCACATGACTGTAGTATGGAATCAGATGCTACACGGGGCAATTTGTCATCGTTTTTCTTCTTTTTGTTTGGGGAGATCCGATGCGAGTGGGCGATGGTTAAGAACGACCCAAGCCTAACTGCGATCGGACACAGTTCGATCGATATTTCCTGGGTGCGCTCCTCAAGTGTCCCGATCTTCCTTCCCCGATATTGCTCGACCATAATACGAGCGTAAACCGTGCTGTATTAGTTGATCTTGCTACGTGTTTGTTCTTCACCAGTCGAGTTGTGCGGCTTGAGATGACAAGTTATTGTTAGTTTTTCTTTAAGTAAGCATAGGAAAAGCCACGTACGTGCGCAGGCCATATTATCAAAAGGAAGTGATAAACAAGAAGGCAATCTTGGTGAAATTGAAACCATTGCGGCTTGATATTCCCGAAAAGTTCATGTTAGGATTGTTTAATTTGCTATTTCAAAGGTCTGGTTGAAAGGAAACAAACCTAATGTCTTACCGTTCCTGAGAAAAGACCCCCCCCCCCAAAAAAAACCCCGGTTGTTTTCATTGGACGCGACGGAAATTTTGTGGCATATTCTTGTGGCATATACTTATCTCAAGTCGTGTCTAATCAATGCAAGTACGTTGTGTGTGTGGTTAATACACACAATACACAAATGTTGTTTCTTACGCGTCCGCAGAATACAAAATAACCGTGCGGCTGGATCACAACTAGCACCGATCTAGCTCGATTTTTTCAGGGACAAAATTTGGACCCCCGAAATTCGTTCTTGCATGGTTCTTGCAAGAATAACACCAAAATGTCCAGTTTTTAAAGAATGGTTGCGTGGACATTATATTCTACTTTTAAATCATTTCGTTTAAAATGCCTTTTGTAGCCCAATTGGACGCATTCCAGGCCGTAATGTCCCTTTAGGCCCAACGATTCACCTTCCCGATGTGTTTTATCAAAAGTAAATTTTTTAATAAAGTAACAAATTTATCTTTTTGGTAAAAACAAGTAACTCTTTGTGTTTATCAGAAAAAAAAAATAGATTTTACTTTTATTCCGTTGAAATAAAGGCAAGTGGTTTTGACCGATAAGATCCATTTAATACGTTCTCGCTTGCGATTGCCTTTAATGCGAAGCGATTGAACTTTGAGACCAGATCAAACAAACAAATGCAATCGTCACAAACATATCCGCTCCGTTCAGCCCCATTTGAACCCTTTTGAAAACAGCCAAGGAGATTCCGAATAAACAATAACAGCTGGCCTCTTTCCCGAACGGAATAAAAGATGTAGTGCTTCGCTGGAGATAGCGTGCGCGTGGAAGCGTTGTCCTAATTTTGTTCCAAGGAGATTGGATTCATACACGTGTCATGCATACCATTATCACCGTAAACCGCACATTTTTTTGCTGACGTTGCTTAATCATAGTGGAAAAAATAACTTGGCTTAAATTAAACTTCGAGTTGCGATCAAACGACTTTGGGTCTACAGAGTAAAAACAAAAACCCGAAACCCAAATGGCAGGACCTATTTTCGAATGAACTTTTGCCTGTATCACTTTTTAAATCTAGGATATGAAAGCCCAATTAATTAATCTTCTTTTAGTACAAGAATCGCATTCAAATCACTTATGCTTTTTGAAAGTTACGGAATTTTTAAACTCAAACATCATTTCAAAGTTTTGTTCATGGATCACCATAAAGGTACACAAGTGTTCTTTCAGCAAAACGAAAACAATAAGCCTCGGTACTGATGACGTTGACACTTTGTTTACATGTGCACTTTCCCACGCATCTCTATGAGAATTGTTTTTGTTTTGATAAAAGAACACTTACGATTTTGTGTTCCGTAGACAGAACTTTAAAACGGTGTTTATGTTCAAACTTCCGTGACTTGAAAAATACATAAGTGATTTAAATGATTCTTGTGCTATAAGAAAGATTAATGGCTGGGCTTTTATATCCTAGACTTTGAAAGTGCTACAGGCAGAATTTCATTAATTAATTGGTCGTGCCATTTGGGTTTCCTTGTTCATACTAGCCCTTTATAACGAGTAGGTCTTTAATTATTTTGCGACAAGTGGAGGACCTTATACTGAAATCACAAGTGGTATATGTAGTTTTTGATTTGGATGTATAAGACTGAAGCTATTTTATCGATAGTTTCATATGCCGTGTCATTTTCTTTTCCTGCCCGTTCCACGGGAGTTCGATCGTTTGCATATTTGTTGAGCTATTTGATGATATTTTGGTCACTAAGTAGACAAAAATCTGTGAAATTATTGCAGAGTGATTTATCTCATATCAAATATTGATCCTGTGTTGAGATTTTAATTATTTTGGCTGTAAATTTTTAACTTCTGCAAATGAAGAGAGGAGGGTCCGATCTTATCATAAGGTGTCCTTGTCACGCTTGTCTAAAAATACCCCAGAATTTCGGAGAAAGAATGAAAAAAAATAAGCGCGCCCGAGGTGAACAGATACTTTTCTTATTCCGCTGCCTCGCCCGGGCCCTGTGCAAACATCGCAAGACTTATCATGATGGTCGTTCATCTCGAGTGACCGAGATGTGAGCCGCGCCAAGTTGGTCGGCACGGACGGTAAATATCGGTTGATCGACCGGCTGAGATAGGCTACCATCAGGCAGTCCCGCCCGCCCGGACTGCGTGATACACAGCGGTTTCTACGTGCATTGCAAGACCCGATAGGGTATAGCCGACGGAAAAACAGTTCTGTATTATTATGGCTGGCAGACGGTAGAGAATCGCCTCAGCGCAAACACGGGCACGATATCCGCGCAGATCGCCTGACAAGTCCATTTGATCAAGCGTGACTTCGCCCAGCTAGAAACATCCCTAAAAGCCTGCTTGGATCACTTTGCGTATTCCGAACCCAAACTTCAGAGATACCTCTCACTTTTGTGACTTTTTTTTAAAGCAAAGTCAGAGGTTATTTGCGTTAGGCGAGAGGCCCATAATCTAATGGAAGTTGAAGTTGATTTGCCTGACAGCATCGAAAGAGAAGCACAAATGGCATTAGCAGGATGCAATGATATAGCATCTACTTCAGTAATTATGGCATCGAAATTGAACATGGCATATTTATTAGATCTGCTTCACAAGAGCTGCCCACGCTAAGCCGTTTCGCCGATTCTTTCCTAAATAGCATCAATATTTCAAACCGTAAGATTTCTCATGGAACACTTTCTTTTCAAATCGACTGTCGGAACGCGTTATTTACAGGTATGTCATCAAAAGAGCCATGCAATAGAGCCATGCAATAGCCTCGGGCAGAGCTTCCAGCACATAAAGATGAAAATATCACATATGAATCACCGATCGAGTTTAGCCAGCCCTGTTCCAATATGAAACCGACGAGGCATCGGTCAATTAGCGGGCAATGGTGACGTCAGTAGCCCTACACTCGTTGAAATTTAACAGTCCCTAGACCTGACCCGTCAAGAATTTTATGGCCAACGTGCGCTGCCTTTAATCCATAAATCACAGGGTGCTCCATCAGTGCCATCACGGTCCACGGAAGGAAACAGAAAACGCCACTCTGAGGTAGAGCGCATGCATGGGCGGGAACACGTCGTGAAGGTATTTTTTTGCAAACCCCTCACTCTTGCCGGCACGTTATTAAGTGGCATTATCTACGACGTCATCATTGGTCAGGTTGGCCGGCCGTTTTTACGTGCCTGCGAGCTGCCGCGTCTGCATAAAAGTAAGCTACGCGTTAGAAGAAGGATCAGTGGCAGTTTGTGCTGTGGGCCTCGGAGAGCAATTTTTCGATCTTTCCTGCTCGGACGGAGTCCAGGAAGTTCTGAAATTATGGATCAATATCAGTTTCATTTCGCTGAGTGTTGACCCCGGGCAAAAGCAGAACACGTCCGGCTCGGGCAGAATTCACCTGACGACAGTATCAAATTTCGCCCACTTGAAAGATAGAAACGGAGGCTCCCGCCACGGCTTAAAACACACTGGGAATCGGGACGGCAAGAGGAAACTGAACTTGATTCCGGCTGGAAGCCTGGACGGTGCGGTTTGCGGAATTGATTTCAAGTATTGACGACTCGTCACGAATTGTTCCACGACGGATGAGTTTATCACGGACAATAATAGGCCTATTATTGCTGACTGAAGGTTTACCCGTGATTGACTTCCATCATTTTTGGTGAACTGCTTACATGTGCAAGTGTTTCTATTGCCGAATCTGACGGAGCTTCGTCGAAATTGTGTATGACTCCATGAGCTTATGGCTTACAAGTCGTGCCCACATGTTATAGTGCTGAGCACGAGGGGAGACTACGAGCAGTAGCTAGTTTCACTCTTTGAATGTCAAGACTGCTTGATTTAGTGTGGATGTTAATGTGTTTCAAAAATGTCAACAGTGTTCAGTAATTTGTCAGATGCAGCCATACTGTATCTCAACGATACGACCGCCGCCTCACCGAGCCTCGCCGGGGAAGGCTGGCCAACGCCGGTCCAGGTCATCGTCGGTACGATCGTCGCAGCCTTCACGCTGGTCACCATCCTGGGCAACACCTCCGTCATCTATGCCTTCCTTCGCTCCAGCCGACTCCGGTCCTACAACAACTATTACATTGTCAGCCTGGCCGTGGCTGACCTGATCGTGGGACTGACCACCATGCCCATGTACGGCCTGTATTGGTTCCTGGGCTACTGGCCGCTGGGTCACGTCCTGTGCTCGTGCCATCTGGTCATCAGCCACTTTATCCTCAACACGACATTCCTATCCGTCCTTGCAATCGCCATCGACCGTTTCATGTCCGTCACCTACCCGATCTTCCACATCGAGCACCGCACAAGACGCTGCGCACTGGTGGTTATCTCCCTGACGTACATCGTGCCTCTGTCGATATGGTTGCCTTTTCTCTTGTACTGGGAGTTTGTCTACGACGGGCCGTTTTTCGTGCTGGACTACCGCTGCTACCCGCTGTACCTCAGCAACCTGTTCTACACCACGGGGGCAATCCTGGTCCTGAACTGGATCCCCATCTTCGCGGTGATGGTGGTGTACTTCAAGGTATACCGGAGCGTACGCGGGAAGATCGCCCGCCGGAGGGAGCGGCTGCGGGCCCTCCACGAGGCGGCGTGTCGACAAGAAGTCGACCGGGAAGACACCTCTCCCGAGTCGGCCCTGAATGCCCGCATGGTGCCGCCTACACGCCGGGACGCTATTCCGACCAGGACCAAACAGGGACACGGGTTGTTTATGCAGATGCAGTGCGGAGCCCTGTGTGGCATCGCCATTGCCTCAGACTCGCATTCGTCCGACGAAGCCGACTATCGTCTCCCCGACGCTTGGCGTAAACCAACCTCCGATACCAGTGAGTACAACTTCTCTGCAAACCCGATGGCTCGTAGCACTGCCCAATCATCTAGCAGACAACGGAGTGACCCACGATACTGGCTAAGCCCAAGTGAGTATCGCTCTATGCTTTAATATTCTAAAGCCCATTTTACAAATCTTGAATAAATACTTACAAAAACAAAAAGACGGATCCAGTACTGTTGTTGGCGAATCCATTACGATTCCCTTCAAGTCTTCACAAGTATTTGAACTTGAAAATCATTAAATCTTGTCCAAATTCTAGTCACCAATTTGCCTTTATCAAATGACTCTTTACAAAGGCATTCCGTTCATCCCCTGTTTCTTGTGACTGGACGTTTGATTTATTTGTGTCTGGACTTATGATGGACTCGACTACAATACTGAAGGGAATGCGATCACGAGTGGCCAAAAAACTCACCAAATCATTAAAAAAAATTTCACTTAAATTCTTGGCTTAATATCTTCACCTGAACATGCATTTTCCTCAATAAAAGTATACAAATAAAGAACGTTTGTGAATGTAATGGTAAGAACAATTTCATGAGATGACAGATGGAATGTTCCATTCCACGAAGCCGGGTTGAATGGAACATTCCATCTGTAACCGAATGAAATTATTCTTTCCATTGCACTAGTGTGAAACATTCATTATTTGTTTTCTACATGTAAAACACCTAAATAAATCCTCGTCTTCTGATTGATAACTTGTAACCTGACTATACTATGAATGCACAGCATCAAAGCGCCACCAAGAGTGAGACCGTGCAATGGAGTCCTCTTCTCCTTTGAGGAGTGCAGTGGTACTTCCAAAAATATTAAAATACTCAACTCTCCAAGGTGTTTGAGACACACATAAAATTAAAGATTTTTTCATCATCTTGCATTTTTTGCTCAATATTTGGGTCGTTATTCCATGACTTTCGGGAGAAAATTCCATTCAAAGATGATCATCCCTGAAAGTAATCCTGTGGCCCATCGCCATTTTGAAAAATGATGTCTGCGCTTCATTGCAAATAGAGCAATTTTAGGACCCAATTTCATCCGCATTTCACAGAAATACGAGCTCGCACTCCTGTACACGGCTTCCATCCACCTTGTTTTTTCACAAACCTTCAAGTTCTTGGTTCACAAAATGCTCTAATAGCCAAAAAAAAAATAAATAAAAAAAAATGGAGGGCACACAAATCGTGATTTGGCCCGCGTAGGCAATTCTGGGCCTATTTAAAGGTCTGCACCTTAAGGTGCGGCTGCGCCGTGCGTTGGGAGGAATAATTCAATAACACGTGATTGACGACCCACCAATAAGACGACGGGAATTTATTCAGGCCTTGTATAATATTTAACTTAAATATAATTTATTTCACACTTTGCTCACACAAACGACTGGGGGCCTTGGTCTCATACCGTTATTACAAGTACAGATGCCTTCAGTTTCCTCAGTTGGCAAATAAATGCCAATTAACAAACGAAATGCCTTTGTAAATGTGCGGTTGTTATTGGTATGAGACGCTAACATTGTTTGGATATATTTGTCAGACTTGAGACGGTCGACTGCATACACACGACACGAGGAGAGCAACCTCGCCCTCAGGACCCTGTCGCTCATTGTAATATCCATGATGATCTCCGGTTTGCCCTGGGCTATCACAGCCGTCGTCATTGTCATCTGCCGATACTGCATACCACTCTTTGTGCAACAGGTGAATAAGAAATGAGAAAATCAGTCAATTATGGGACTCTGCTGACTGCGCGGAACATTCACAGTCCTTAAACCATTGCTATGACGTCACACTGTTGTTAAAAGTGTGGATTCGGATCTACGAATCTCTTACACTGGTCACAAAGTGTGGATTCGGAACGACGAATCTTTAGTAAAGTGTGGATTCGGAAAAACGAATCCACACTTTGAACGTCGGACAATGTCTCCATAATGCTAATGAGCATGAATAGGACTGTCTGCGTGAAAATTAGCTTTTCGAAAATTACCAATGCATCTTCATAGTCAGATTCTCCGCCGTCACTGCAAAAACTACTTTTAGGCAGAAAGAAATCGTCGTCTGAACTATCTATTTTGACGTAAGGAGCCTGTACACACACGGGTGTGGCAAAAAATGTTGCAACCTGACGCCACTTCCGCGCTTGTGTACAAAGTCTATGGAGAGTCATTTCAAGTATTTCCCAACAAAATTGGAAACATTTCTCAGTCCCAGATTCATGTCTTATCATCATTTTTGCAACGAATGACCTTCATTGAGATGATATATAAAGAAAAAAAGTGGCGTCAGGTTGCAACATTCTTTCCAATACTTCTGTTGACGCAATGGTTTAAGTCGAAGAATACACTCGCAAGTGTGGATTCTTAATTTACGAATTCACTCGGCGCTTCGCGCCTCGTGAATTCTTAAACTACGAATCCACACTCTCTCGTGTATTCCCCTTAACTGAATTGTGTTGGGTTTGCCTGAGGTGTTGCCATCCCAGTAGGGTTTGTCTCTACAACAGACGAATCCGGGCACGTGATCGCTGTACACTCACGGGGCCCCCTTCAATGGAGAAACCATTGTGCAAGCTATTACACAAAGCAACAAAGCCATTAGGGGCCAGCGTGCCCAGATTTTGTGTATGGACGATAGCTAGCTCCCAAGAGCTGTAAAACAGGAAACAGTGGTGCACATTATTTCTTAAATGTTGAGCCTGAGAAGTTTAGTGCACTCTCAGCATTGTTCATCGTTGAAAGGGTATATAAAAAACCACCCTCACATAAAGTTCAAGCACGTACATTGCCTTTCTTGATGGGTGCATACAAGCAACAACTGACAAGCGTAGCAAATCTTTCAGTTGGTAAGATACACCAAACGTATACACACATTTAACAGCTGAAACGGCATGTGAGCAACAGAAGACGCTTTGTGTATTTAACCGCTATTGCTTAATACCCACAGGCTTGAGTCGTAGTACACGAAGGGGAAAAACACCGTGGATAATTCTGTAATGTTTTCATCCCGTGTTTCAACAATTCATGGGTAAACTGAGTTTCCCTTTAAAAAAAGAAAGACTATTTAAATACAATGCAGCAAAAATAAGTACATATATGTGAGTTTGTACACGTAGACGTTTGTTTATGGTGTAAATCGAGTCTCTTACACTGGTCACAAAGTGTGGATTCGGAACGACGAATCTTTAGTAAAGTGTGGATTCGGAAAAACGAATCCACACTTTGAACGTCGGACAATGTCTCCATAATGCTAATGAGCATGAATAGGACTGTCTGCGTGAAAATTAGCTTTTCGAAAATTACCAATGCATCTTCATAGTCAGATTCTCCGCCGTCACTGCAAAAACTACTTTTAGGCAGAAAGAAATCGTCGTCTGAACTATCTATTTTGACGTAAGGAGCCTGTACACACACGGGTGTGGCAAAAAATGTTGCAACCTGACGCCACTTCCGCGCTTGTGTACAAAGTCTATGGAGAGTCATTTCAAGTATTTCCCAACAAAATTGGAAACATTTCTCAGTCCCAGATTCATGTCTTATCATCATTTTTGCAACGAATGACCTTCATTGAGATGATATATAAAGAAAAAAAGTGGCGTCAGGTTGCAACATTCTTTCCAATACTTCTGTTGACGCAATGGTTTAAGTCGAAGAATACACTCGCAAGTGTGGATTCTTAATTTACGAATTCACTCGGCGCTTCGCGCCTCGTGAATTCTTAAACTACGAATCCACACTCTCTCGTGTATTCCCCTTAACTGAATTGTGTTGGGTTTGCCTGAGGTGTTGCCATCCCAGTAGGGTTTGTCTCTACAACAGACGAATCCGGGCACGTGATCGCTGTACACTCACGGGGCCCCCTTCAATGGAGAAACCATTGTGCAAGCTATTACACAAAGCAACAAAGCCATTAGGGGCCAGCGTGCCCAGATTTTGTGTATGGACGATAGCTAGCTCCCAAGAGCTGTAAAACAGGAAACAGTGGTGCACATTATTTCTTAAATGTTGAGCCTGAGAAGTTTAGTGCACTCTCAGCATTGTTCATCGTTGAAAGGGTATATAAAAAACCACCCTCACATAAAGTTCAAGCACGTACATTGCCTTTCTTGATGGGTGCATACAAGCAACAACTGACAAGCGTAGCAAATCTTTCAGTTGGTAAGATACACCAAACGTATACACACATTTAACAGCTGAAACGGCATGTGAGCAACAGAAGACGCTTTGTGTATTTAACCGCTATTGCTTAATACCCACAGGCTTGAGTCGTAGTACACGAAGGGGAAAAACACCGTGGATAATTCTGTAATGTTTTCATCCCGTGTTTCAACAATTCATGGGTAAACTGAGTTTCCCTTTAAAAAAAGAAAGACTATTTAAATACAATGCAGCAAAAATAAGTACATATATGTGAGTTTGTACACGTAGACGTTTGTTTATGGTGTAAATCGAGTCTTTTGTTCCTCTTCCCTTTTCCTTTATACTTTAATAACTTTTTTGCAACAGCTCTCATTGGTTTTCTACACGTTTTCCAACCGAGGAGTTCTCAATTCGGCATTTTGTCCTCGATTCATTGATGATGTTGGACGTGTGTGCCCTCAATTTTTGTGTGCCCTCAATTTGTTGCAACCGGTCCTCGATCGTACGGTTATGTGCTTAGTTTATGGGAGAGTGTTATATTACAGGGACAAAGGGAAACATAAAGCGTTGTCCTCAGGGGTATAGTAAAACACGACCGTGTGTGTTGTCAGCCATGAATAACAAAAAAAGGAATGTACATTATTTTACACACCAATGTAAAAAAATGAATTTTGAATTTATATTTATTTTCCTTATAAATTTGAGGACAGAAACCAATTTCACGGAGCTGTTAAGCAGCACAGACAATATTTGCTTAAACAGAAAAAGGTTACCAGCCAATATGCCATGCAGTGTACATTGCCTAGGGCTAGTTCCCAGACGATTTTGTTTGCTGAGCGAATAAATTTGCTAAGGAATATTTTCTGCTTACCGCTCCATAAAATTTGGACCAGGGCTTTGTTTTAAGAACTTCTAAAACAAACCCACCTTGTCTCCAATCATCTATAAGTTAGTTCCTTATCTTTGTCATTTTATTTGTTCATCCTCTTTCTCTTCTGAGATGTCAAGTTTTTCAACTTCTAGTTTTCAATACATCCCAGTCCGTCGGTTCGTCTTTGTTTTGTTTTATCTGTCCTGTTCCGTTTTCTGTCTATCCTGTACGATACGTTGTGAGTTCTGTTTGTCCAGTTTTGTTTTTGTCTTAAAAAAGGCATATCCATATGAGACGTTGTCTTTTGAATATACCCATGTTTCATTTGTGTCTTACTTAATTATTATTCTTGTATTTTATCAAAACAAAATGATCTTTCATAAATTGGCCTTCTGTATAATGACCTGAATGTACACTTTGCAATACGGAAAGAAATCTTGAGATGAATTGAATTGGATTAGAAAACTGATTTCATACAGTCTTTCCCCTTTTCTCCTTGTGCAGATGCTGGTGTTCCTGGTCCACACGAGCAGCGCTGTCAACCCTTTCTGCTACGCGGCCGCCAATCCCTTGTATCGGATGGCGTTCCTGAATGTCCTGAACTTGGCGTGCTACAGAGGGACAAACCGGCGGCACCTGCTGATCCGAAGATAGATTAATTGATCGGTCAGATCAACCTGTCGTCCCGAGTACAATGGTCGACCTGAGCAAACTACAGGGTGACCCACAAAATGCAACCATTAAACATTAAGTTGCCTTTAAAAAAAATGGATTAAAGCTGAGAGCTTTTTCTTTCAATTACTGAAAATATCATGAAAATAACACTTGGGTTGCTGAGAAAAGCCCATTATGTAAAAGTAGTCATTTTTCAAACTGTACACAAAAGATTACTACAGTAAGGATTTTCACTGTACCTATTTGTGAATGTCCTAATTCTTACAACAATATGACTCATAAATATGACAAAAATACCAATGAATTTGATGGAAATACCATTTTATTTTCCACCTGAACAGGTAACTCATCCTTTTAGTCCTATTTAAGCCTTTTCAGCATCATAAATATGTCAAAACATTAAAGAAACTGCATAAGTGAAGGATAATTGCACAGTGGGCTTACAGTAAAATGTTTCACTGTTTGAAGTATTTGTGTACAGGACAAAAAATCACTTCTTTTACATAATTTGCATTTTCTCAGCAACTCAAAGTGCCATTTTCATGATTTTTTTTCAGTATTTGAAAGAAAAAGCTCTCAGCTTAAATCTGATACCCAAAACATAAAAATCCACCCATCGCTTTTTTTTTAAATGGCAAATGTTTTAGATTTGCATTTTTTTGGGTGACCCTGTACAATCATGAATATATTTTCGCCACTCAATTCGGTATTCTTTCTGATGATCACAAACACTTGATTATATTTTATTTTTTCCTCACGTCAATTGTCAAATCATCTCCAATGTATATAATTGGTAACACGAACTACTCTCTAAATAGTTAAACGATAAATTCTTATACCATTCATATCATGGAAATGCCGCTTTGCAGTTGGCTTGCCTGTAGCGAGAATCAATGGTCATTTTTTGCCCTTTGCGAATTCAGAGAAAAGTATAAAACGTTGATTTCATTTACGTCGAACGAGCCCATTGAATCAGGCCAGTTCGTTTCGCAAAAATTGGAGCAAATCAATAAGACAGCTAGTCGGCGACACCTGCGCGACACTTCTATGACGGTAAATGTAGGGCGCGCAACTTGACCTAAAAACCAAAACCAAACAATCACTGCCCACCCTCCAAGAATGTTTGTTTTCTTGATTGGGCATAGCTGTAGGTAGTCTAGGGAATAGCCTTCAGCAGAAAGAGCAAGCGTCCATGAAATGCGCGCAGATTCAGCGATTAATTATGAGAGACACCATCTTTGCATATGGGGCTGAATCGGACGCAGGTTTTTGCCTTCAGGACAATTTCACCAACAGATATGATTAACAGCGCCCGTTGAGGGAGCTTTTTAGAGCAAGGGGGAAAAGAGGGGCAAGGTGGTATGTCGGCCGCCCTTCGCCGACCACCAAAGTCCGCTTGTGGTATATCTCTTGGTACAAATGATTGGTGTAAACTTGGTGACATAAAAATGTAATGTTTGTGTTGCCCGTCGGTGGCCCGTATGACGTCACAGGCACACGGTCTAGTATGGAAGCGCACATGCAAACAAATCGTGGCGCATGCACCAGGTGTCAGGGCAAGTTTTACAGCTAATTGGAAAGCCGCCGAAAGCACCACGAGCTAAGGGAAGCCCGAGCAGAAAAAAAAGAAATACATTTTTAACAGTTAATTGGAATTCCTCAGAATATGATGCCATGAAATTAAACTTTGTCAGGGGACTGTTTGGAACAAGTTGCCTGCCATTTACTTCTCACGACATTCCCTTGAATCTCATGTGGTTGTACCGTGAACTGACATGCGTCTAAAACACGTCAAGAGAGGCGAATAATACACGGTGAGGCGTAGTATGACAAATCCAAGAACTGACAGGCCTACATTGATGTTCCATCGTGCATTGCAAATGATGCAATGTGCCGCTTCGCTTGCAAGGCAAAGTCAATAATACATTCCCCATGAGGACGTCTGGTATACAGTTTTTCTGTTGACTTTGGAGGATGGATATAATTTGATATCAAACTCGCCGGTACCAATGAACTTTGATACCGTCGGGTACAACTTAAAGTGTGAAAAAGCGTGAGGGGAGACGACATTTTTCTGTTGTATTTGTTCCATCGTGCTTGACGTTTGTAGATAAGAATTATTTGAACTTCTGACTTGAACTGTCAAAGCAAACTAGACGTAATTACGTTATGTTACGATTTAATTATTAACATCAAGGGTTTTTGTCAAAAGGAGCGGATGATTTTTTGGGGTAAATGAACACAAATACTGCCATCGAAACAGCCACCAAAATTGAAATATAAAATTGAGTTACTTCTGTCTATGATAACAATGGCATGAAAGATTACATTGAGCTGAGCTAAGCATACACCGGAATATCTGTGTTACAAAATTCCCCCTAAAGGAAACATGTTGCCAAGTAGGCCTATAAGAAAGAGACAAAAATCATGGTTTGTTATTAACTCAAAATCTCTATAAAAAATCTTGATGATTTTAATAGCGCACGTGAAAGCACTCCAAGCCAGTTGAATTCAGATGGTGAAAGAAAAGGTTTGAACGAGCATTTTATTTTGAAGGACTCCCGTTTTCGCAGTCGGTTATTTCCGACATGCATTAAGATAACATGCATCAGTATTCGTCGACGAGAATCGATGGACGGAATGGCGCATGTTGTTGTGATAAGCCAACATGCGTATGGCTAGCACGAAACAAAATGCATTAGGCATCAACCCTGTCTTTCCGAAGGCTGTTCCTATTCTTCACATCTCGTCGGTGATAAGTCGATGCCTCAATTTTTATCTGACATAACACAAATTCTATTTTGGCTTACACGCCTGATTAAATTGTAGTTTAGCCATGTGTGTCTGTAGATTAGCTTACGGCACATAACAAAACATTGTTTTCCGTGTGGGAAGATTAACAACTGTCCCTTCGCGATATTATTTCCCGGGCAAAACTAGGGGCCCAGGCCAATTTTCATTGTTATTGTCAAAATGTGCCTGACTGAAATTTATCCATGCCTTTCATTGTAAACATTGCACAGAGAGAAATAATAAAGTTTAAATTATACCAATTTTGTGTTCGTTGCGTTCTGTATGACTGGCCTAGAGCGCGATTTTGTGCAAAAGGCCCCCACCCCCGTGTCAAAACAAGCTTGATCGGATCTCGGAAGCTGCGGGCCAACCAACCTCGTCCCCAGTGCTTACTTTATTTCCAACCTCGTTTCCAATAGTTAACCCTGGATAGGAAACTTTCTTCCTGTATCCTGATTCGATACCGCAATTGGCCAGTAATGGATTTTTATCGTGTACTTGGTGTTATTATTCACAACGTGCAGTACGTGATTTCGCGATCATTCGTCCACGCCTTCTCGAAAATACTAATTTCCTTTCCAGTTTGTTCATAAATATGAAATGTGATACTGCATGTTGTCTCGATAAGATCGTAACAGTTTAATTTAAAAAAAAATCGTGTTTTCGTAACTCACGCCGTGCTCGTGCTGCGACTAATTGACTCTGTTTTTACCCCAGACACCGCATACAAAAACAAACGCTAATGTAAAGCATATCCAAGGCACCACACTATTCCTCATTTGCATACGTGTGAAAAAATCTTGCACATGCAAATGATCCAATACCAGGGTGAGAGAGCAGGTAGTGATGGGCGCGTACTGTTCGACACCCTGGGGACGAGGTTGGCGGGCCAACGAATTCGTGTTCACCTTATTTTGACCTTTGACCCCATAGCTGTAGGTCAGATGAAGAGGTCACCATAGACATTTTTAAAAGTTTGACCAAGGCCAACATGTTGACCTCGCTACTTTTGTCATTTGAGTTTCTTTAAAATTTGACCTAGTTTGACCTATGACCCCATAACTGTAGGTCAGACGAATAGGTCACTATGGACATTTTATTAATGTTTGACTCTACTTTTGTCCTTTTAGCTTATTTGAAATTTGACGTTATTTTTATTGGAAATTTGACGTTGCCTTTACCCCATGATGACATTTGACCCCAGTTTGGCCATGTGACATGTTGGGGCTGGGCTACTGATACTTTTGACAAAGTTTGGTTGAAATTGGTCAAGGTATATATCAATAGACAATGTCAAAATGTGTCACTAACTAACGATCTAACTATAACTAACTAACTAACTAACTAACTAGCGAACAGGCTAATGGAGAGACATGATGATTTGTTGAGCTGCTACCCGCAGTTAAAAAGGTAGACCAAAACCTCGTTGATATTAAATGCATATTGATACCACAGGAAAACGAGAATCATTTCCTATGTTGCGGATTTACAAAAAAGAAACCTGCCCTGTGATAGGAATGTCAAATAATTAACTTTTGAAACGCATGGTGGCAGCAGACACACCGGTCGCGGTGTTTTTTTTTTATCTGCAGCACACATCGTCAATGGATCATGATTATTCAGCTGTTCAATGTTTTGACGACATTAAACAATAATGAAAAGGACTGATGTGTTTGCTGCCACCACGCATCTCAAAAGTCTCCCAATCAGAGTTCCAATCGAAAACTAAGTCAGATGATAAAACAGTACATTTTGTCTTCCTTTATTCTTCTCTTTGGTTAACTTTGTTCCTTTGGTTTATGTTGTTCCTTTTGTTCGATTTATCAGTGCACACCAGTAAATAGGTCTAAACCCATCCGCCGAGCTCATGAATACAAGTCATACCCTCAAAATATTATATATTAGAGAGTTCTGAGAGCCATAGAATTAGGGAATTGAAGAGATATGGCAATGAACCTCTGGCTCGGACTTGGGGCTTCCAATTCTGAGCATTTTGAACGCAATTGGGCTCGAAAGTGGCGCTATTTGACGCATTGTGCAGGGATCGTTTTTTCAAGATGGCTACTTTTCCGCTTTGGGTAAAAAAGGGGGCGTCTTCTTCGGGTGAGAATTTCTCGAAAAGTAAATGGTCGCCCAACAAAAAAATGAAAGATGACATGCTGATCATCAGTTTTGTGTGCAGCTTAAATACCTGTGAGAGTTCTGAGTATATTTAAAAGAAAGTTGAAGTAAGGGCATTTAGCACTGCTGTCTATGGGAATGTTAATACAGGAG